GCGATCTCGGCTCACTGCAACCTCCGCCTCCTGGGTTCAGGCAATTCTCCTGCCTCAGCCTCCTGAGTAGCTGGGATTACAGGCACGCGCCACCATGCCCAGCTCATTTTTTATAGTTTTAGTAGAGACGGGGTTTCACCATGTTGACGAGGATGGTCTCGATCTGTTGACCTTGTGATCCACCCGCCTCGGCCTCCCAAAGTGCTGGGATTACAGGCTTGAGCCACCGTGCCTGGCTCATTTATCTTCTATAAGTGATTATGTTTATCCATTGTAGTATAATGTGGTTCTCCTTTGCAGCAGATTTTTTCTATTATAGAAACTTGAAAAGGTCATATAGAAGTATTTAGGAAGATGAATATATTATTAGATTCTTAACTACGTTAAGTCATTTAAGTATCTCACCAAGACATAAAAAGGGATTTCACAATTGTATGTGAACTTGAAGACTACATTTACTATATTCGTATGTTGGGGTTCGTTTGAATTTCTACAACTATTTTGATAATCCAAAGTTCTGAATTTATTTATTTATTTATTTATCTGAAACGGAGTCTTGCTCTGTTGCTCAGGCTGGAGTGCAGTGGCACAATCTCAGCTCACTGCAGCCTTCGCCTCCTGGGTTCAAGCAATTCTCTGTCTTAGCCTCCCAAGTAGCTGGGATTACAGGCGCCTGCCACCACGCCTGGCTAATTTTTGTATTTTTAGTAAAGATGGGGGTTTCACCATCTTGGCCAAGCTGTTCTTGAACATCTGACCTCGTGATCCACCCACTCAGCCTCCCAAAGTGCCAAAGTTCTGTTTTACAATTTCTGTTATTAGAGATGCTATATATAGTCTGATTCGCTATGGTAGTTAAGAAGCCAGAAAAATATCAGAGTCAACATTTTATTATCCTTCATAAGTGTTTTCATACCTAGGCACATTAAGCAGAATAGTATGAAAATCATTTTTGATTCTACAAATAGTATGAAAATCATTTTGATTCTCATCCTTTCTCATGCACTAACGAGTTATTCAACAGTAATGCCTGAAATAGGTTGCTCAGTATATGTTAGTGCTAGATAGCATGCATGTATATGTAAACTGTCTGGGATTTAACAGTTTGTTGTCTTTAACAACAGACAGGGAAAGACAAGAAAATAGTTTCTTAAAGGTAAAACATAGTGATTAATCTCTTGCTTAAGTTGTAAGAAAACAATGTATGCAACATGCTCAAGGGGACAGTAATAAAATTGGCATTATTCAGGTTAACATTTGATGCCTTTAAATATTACAAGAGATTATTTAGAAGTAGCTGTTTTACTTTTTCCTTGCATATATGTCCCTTCACAATGATCCTTTTTTATATTTCTAGAAAATATATTTTTATTTGTGAAAATTGATTATGGAAGGTGTTTCACAATTTATTTTGTTAAACTAAACTGAATTTGTAGGTAAGGATTTTAAAGCAATAAAAGGAATGAAAAATATTGATGTTATTATTTTAAAAATAAAAAAAAATCAACTTTAATTGAATTTTAATTTATTTTAAGGAAATTTGCCTGATCCTGGTAAGGCTCAGGATTTCATGAAGAAATTCACACAGGTGTTAGAAGATGATGAGAAAATAAGAAAGCAGTTAGAAGTGCTTGTTAGTCCAACATGCTCCTGCAAGCAGGCTGAAGGTTGTGTGGTAAGGAGAGAAAAGAGCTAATGTTTGAAAAAGCCCCCAAACCTTCTTTATTGTCTCCCTCTTTTATAAAAGTAATTTATACTCATTGTATAAAATTTGGAAAATGTCACTTAATGCAGATAAACTGTAATTTTTCTGTAGAGACAATTACTATTAATATCGTGTATGTCCTTCTAAAATGAGATTATATTATACATACAGTTTCCTACATTTTACTTTTTTATTAGTCTTTTATAGTATTATATTTAATAGCTCCATAGCATACCATTGACTACATGTACTATAATTTATTGAGTAGTCCACTATGTTACATGTTTAGATTTTTTCCTGGTTTTTGATTACTGTGAAGAAAGATATAATTAATATTTTTACACAGTGTTGATCTTTTTTTAGGATAAATTCCAAGAAATAAAATTGCATAGGCTAATAGCTCATTTTTTAAAGCTTTTAATGTGCATTGGCAAATTGCTTTCCAGAACTGAATTAATTTTATGTTAATTACCAGTAATGAGAGTGACCATTTTCTCACACATAACAATATTGATTAGTATTATTGCTGGAAACAAAACCCAAGTAAAAACAAAAATGCAATTATTTTGATAATATTTACATTTGTTAGTTGCTAGTCATCTGACCATTTTTTCTCCTTGGGATTATTGGCCATTCATGTCTCTTTTATAAGTTGTGTTTATAATCTTTGCCTATTTTTATAGAAATGGTATTTGTCTTCATCTTACTGATTTGTGAGTTTGTCATATGGCATTGTTAAGTTGCAGGTAATTTTCTGTCAGTTTTAGTTTAGCCTTTTATTTTGTTTTTTATGTTCTTTACATACCATAGTTTATATTATCTAGGTTAATCAGTATTCTCATGGTGTTTGGCTTTGCTGTCTTGCTTATGAAATCCTATTCTGTTACAAGTCAATGAAAATATTTACTGTTGTCAGTGATTCTTAATCTGTTACCTATGTACCTTCTGAAATGCTTTTTTAGAGGAAGATGATTCTTGACTGTATCCTATATCAACTAAATGAGAATCTTCAGCATTAAATCCAGGAATCTGTAGTTGTAACAAGCTCCTCTGATAATTTTGCTTGCTCAAGTTTGTGCATCCAGTGACTCTTGGTTTTGTTTTTTCGTATTTTTATCCTTTTGGAATATTTTTGATGTAAGATATGAGACAGGGACCTTACTTTGTTTTTATTCCAAATGTCTATCCATTTATTTCAATACAATGTATTGACTAGTCTACCTTTTCCCTGATTACTTGGAATACTACCTTTCTCATATGCTGAATCCTTAATTCAGTCTTTTTTTTTTTTTCTGGATTTGTTTAATTCTTACTAATTTGTTTATTCCAGCATCAGTACTACATGGTTTTAATTATTGTTGGTTCTTAATATTTTAACATAATGATTTGTTTAAATGTACTTTTGTAATACTGAAAAATATCTGTGTTACAGCGTGAAATAACTAAGAAGTTGGGCAATCCCAAACAGCCTACAAATCCTTTCCTGGAAATGATCAAGTTTCTCTTGGAGAGGATAGCACCTGTGCACATAGATACTGAATCTATCAGGTATTTGTATATAAGATACTAAGTTCTCATTGCTATTCATTCATTCATGCATTCAGGAAGTCAGTCACTATTGAGTACCTGCTATATACAAGGCACCAAACTAGCTACACATCTGTGTATTATATACTCCTCTGTATATACTCTGTGTATATCTGTATTTGTACACACACACACACACACACACACATATACACACTCATCTGTAGCTGTGTATTTGTTGTTTTTCTTGTTATATATCTTAATTTTAAGGATTGTTTCAAATTGTTTGAGAAATTGTCCATCTAAGCCTAATTTTATCTGTTAACAGTACACCAGACACTTCTTTTTTATTAGCTTGCATAGATTAGGTATTATGATATAAATAAATTTTATTTTTACCCTTGGGAAACCAGGTGGATCTGTTGCAAAGGAACAAATGATGCATTTTCACAGACATTTGAGAACTGAAATATTGTTTTCTAATACAATCCTCATTTAAAGTTTCAGTTTTGATTCTACTTGTGACACAAGTTGGAAACTTATTTCATTTTATCTCTGCATTCCTTCTGGTGAAATGTGGGAAGAGGCTTTTTCTGTGAAATGTTTTCCACTGGTTGAAAAAGTAAAGTACTTACACAATATAGATAGGGCATGTTGATTTACTAGTTAGTCATCAATAGTGTTCTTTGAGGGGTGTATATTAGAAGCTAAAATAAATAATACTAGTGATTTTTCATCTTGTACTCAATGAAGCCCTTTTGGGAATGTTTTGTTGGAGAGGGCTTTGGGCATAGCTTTTGGTCATTGGCCCCTTACAAATAGAGAGACCCTACTTTGGTTACCTGTTAGTCACTTTGGACTCCTCTTGCATCAGTTTTCATTTGAAGAGGTAGTTCTGAGGTTTAAAAAGCAAGACAAAAACTAGAAGGCTCTGTATTTGTAAAAGGGAGACTCTGAATCTGACCCAAATTTATTAGTCCACTAAGTAATCCTGTGCCTTCTCTATTCAAGGCACTACTGTTTAGGTATTGGCAAAGCATAGTCTGCTGTTCTACCTTTTGTCTAGTAGTGGAATAAAGATTTTAAATCAGGAGATTATATTGTACTTCAGTAAGATTATTGCAGATAGAGTTCAGAGGATTGAAAGAGGTTATCTCTAAGGGGTAATATTTCACCTAAGAGGGGAGAATGGGTAAGATTTTGTTTTTACAGAAGTGGGAGATTCTTGCCATTAAAGTTAACATAAATTAAGCTAACTTGATAGTAAAGAAGAAGGCTATTTAAAAAATGATTGTCATCTGTTTATACTGTAGTGTGGCATTTATAGTGTCCCAAACTTAAAAAGCAGATTCGGAGCAGATTGTGAAAGCCTTTAACATTGAGCTTGCTTTTACTTTATCTGTTAAGAACTATGGAGGGTGGAGATGATGGATAGGAGGAGGGAAGTAGAAGACATAGATTGCAAAGATGTTTTAATTGTCTATGGATAGTAGTGGAATGGAAAGGAGACAACATATTTGAGGGAAGTTTTAAAAGAACAACCTAGAAAAATTGCCAGCTTACTGGATATGGGGAATAAAGGTAAGGAAGAACCAGAAATATAGGATTCAAGTGCATATGATGTGGAGAATAGTAATACCTTAAAAAGAATGAAAGGAGGTGGTTTTGAAGGAGGTGAGAAAGGATGTGCTTCCTACTTGGACATGACAGTTTTGTTTTTTTTTTTTTGTTTTTTTTTTTTTT